AGAGAGAGAGAGAGAGAGAGAGAGAGAGAGAATATTGGTGCAGTAGTATTTTCATCTAATTTGTAAACAAAGAAATATATTATACCTATTGTCTTAGTTACTTTTTTTTGCTGGGACAAATACCTGACACTCAAAATTAAGGAAGGAAAGGTTTATTCAGCTCACAATTACTGGAGGCTTCAGTCCATACTCTGCTGGCTCCAACACACACTGCATAAATTCAAGGTGGCAGAAAACGATGAAGAGTAGAGGAGGAGCAACAACTGCAGTATCCATCAAGCCTCTCTTCCTTCTAGAGCTCCCCAGAAGATCAAGCTCCTCCAAAGTGGTGCGATGAAAATGGACTTCTCCAAGGAAGGGGGGCAGGCAGCCTTTCTTAACTCCTTTGTATACATTTTTTGTGCTGAGTCACTTTGGAGTGGGCCCATCACACCCTGGGGTGGGGTCCCCACAGCGGGGGAACTGCCAGCTCAGCCAAGTTTCTGACATCTCAAGTTGACACAATGTATCAACTACCACACCTACATCAAGTCCATCTGATACCTATGCTCAGGGCCACTTACGAATGGGAGTGTGTTATGGTTGGGGTCCAGCCACTGTCCCTCAAGCCTCCATGGTAATTAAAGTTTTGTTTCAGCATGGTGCTATTGCAAATGAGGAAACCTTTGGGAGAAGAGGCTTAAGAGTGATCCTTGAGTCACTGGCAACATGAGGTTGTTTTCCTGTCACCCCCTTGAGTCCTCTAGGAAGAAATGTTATCAAAGAAGCAAGCCTAGTCCTGCCCATCCTCTTTCTCTCTCTTCCTGTTCAAGATGTGACCCTTTGTTTCCATTCACATTTGCATTATGATATGCTGGCATCCAGTGTCCTCACCAAAACATCAAACCACTGGGGCTGCTTGATTTTGCCTTTCTAATTTTCAAAGCTATACACTATATAACCTTTTTCTTTTTATAAGCTAACTACCTTGGGTGTTTTCCTACAGTAATGCAAAGCTGACTAACATAGAACATATAATCAAGAGTTTAGAAGTCAGTGTTTTTAATTGTTGAGCAGATACCTTGTGCTCCATAGTAACAGCTAATATTTATTGAGGTCTATGAAAGGCTTGAATATTAACACTTTACACAAATCATTACACTTAAGTCTTCATAATAATCCCTTGAAGTAGATACTAATGTTGCCTTATTTGAATAAATGAAGGCAGTGAGGCTTAGGTCACTTTCTGTTTCATTTTGGTTTGCTTCTTTGGTATGGGGAATTGAATCCAGGGCCTCATTCACTCTTAGATAACCTCCTAAAATCACCCTGAAGCTTGAGAATAAATCTGGCCTTGAACCCTGGTACTCTGGAAGAGCAGGGTACTCTCATGGCACCCTGTATCTCCTGGGGCAGAGTGGTCTCATCCTTTGGGGATTTTTTTAAAATTTATTTTATTTATGTGTGTGTGTGGCCAGCTCAGCCCACCAGGGGGTGGGGCTGGCTAGCATGTGGTGCTGGGGGATTGAACCACGGTCCATGTGCTTTGCTAAGCTTGTTCTAAGTAGGTGCTTTAGACCACTGAGCCATCTCACCAGCCCTCTTTTGGGGATTTTTGTTCCCCATCTTAAATTGACCACTCTTCTTCTCCACCTTTTTCATACACAACACATGTTTTTTCTAAGACTCCATGCAAACAATGGAATATGGATAAATAAGATAGCAGAAAAAAAAAAGAAGGCATCAAACACTCATTCCTTTAGCCCTCAACAATATCATGCAGACGAATAAACAACAGCTAGTACCATGTAGGTGTTGATGTTCAAAAGTTGATGCTTTCTTGTTGGATAATATGTAATGAATCCAGAGCTGATTAAGAAATACAGAAAATAGAATCAAATAACAAGGCAGGAGTCACGACTTTCAAAGATCCAGCTCTCACGCAACAGGATAACTCTGTGATCTTTAACTGAATGGGGTCGGGAAGTGGAAAAACTCCCCATGTTCCAGCCCGCCAGCCACCCTGATTCAGACAGCTGTGGAAAATGGTCCTGTGGTGTCCAGGAAGATGGTGCCTTCCCAGCATCCTGAAACACTGGATGTGATACAGACCACCAAAATTCCAGTACAATGTGTCTTTGCAACCACACTAAGTCCTGGTTAGAACTAGATTAGTGAAAGAACAGAAGAACAAAACCCCTGTGTTTCTCTACATACTGCTGTCATGGTTTGAGGTTTTTTACAAGGGAAACAATACCGTACAGGATACACTTTGTCAGACTATTTTATAATCACCCAAAGAATCATACACA